GATGATAATTCATGATCAAAGGTAAAATGTTGATTTGATGAAGTCAATGAAAAGTTAAAAGCAAATAATATATTAGATTGTATAATGAAAAACCAAGCCTATGTATTAAAAACATTCAATAAAGAAATACTATATTAATTTTTTATAAACATTTTATTTTTATCATTCCCTCCGATATTAATATTAATAGCATAGATAAAAATCCTATCATTGGCTGTTATGGTATTACAAAAATCAAATGAGATTGACCAATGAAAATTGAATTAAAAATCACATGTGCTTCCAAAAAAATTAATTAACATTTACTCAAGCAAAATGTATAATAGTTCAATTTTATTTATTATTCAATATTCTCTCTTCTTATTTAAACTGGGAACTGGTAAAAAGAATTCTCATACAAAAACCATTTTCTGCAAAAAAAATTAAATAATCTTTTGTCTATTAATTGTTAATCAGTAAAAAAACTAAAATAACATAAAATAACATAGAGAATAGTTAAAACTTTGGTTATTCTATAACTCAATGGAAATATAATGTCATAATATGCTGAATTGGCAAGTGTTTATTTCACATGAATTTTGGATTCTAAAAAATAAAAATAATCTCATCAAATTCATCATAAACATCAACTATTTTTTTTATTTCCAGAATTAGCTGCTTTTAGAATTCTAAGGTTTGTTTTTACTGAAATCTAATTATATATTTGATATATTCAATAATTATACAACAGAGTTTATATAATAATAATTGTAGTACCTGTAAGTATTCTATTTCATTGTTGATTTACTTCTTCATAAATTGGTACTGTATCAACTTGATTTGATTCTTCTTCTTGTAATAGTTCATCTATAGGTGGCTCAAACTCATCTTGAATTTCATCCATTTCCAATCATTTATTATATGACTCAGATAATTCATCAATTGAGTCTGAAAGATAATTATGACAATGAATGCATACAAAATTTAATTGTTTCCAGCAGTCATCATGATAAGCATGACTACATAATTTAACATGTCCATTAATTAAATAAGGATTTTCATATTTGATTGAATCACAGAAACAATCAAGATGTGGATGTTGATTTGAATGGTGTCCTAATGGTAATGCTCATTTGGCAAATCCTTTTGGATTTCCTGGAAAATACCAGTAAGACTTTTGATTCTTTTACCTTCCAATTTTTTTTCAAACTTTCCAATATTTTTTAAAAGATTGTCAAAAAATCTTAACAAAAAAATTGCACCACTTTTTATCATCAAGTCAATATTCTGTTTTGAATATGGATATGATTTTTTATTCTAAAATTTTGGGTAAAGTTATCATCATGATATTGATAATCAACAAAGATCCCATCATGTCTCAACCATTCTGGAATTAATACCTTTGCATTTGTGTGTCTTCTAACTAGGCTGTGGAAATTTTCCACTGGGTATTCATCAAATTAATTAAGGTAATTCTTTAATAATTGAATGATTGGATGGTTGATTTCAATCCAATATTGAATATCTGATAAGTATGCAAGCATGATTTATTTGTTGAAAATGGCACATCATTGTCCATAGCCTGAATATTGTTACAACTTATTCATCAAAATGGCTTCCATGAAAAAGTACCACATAAAGGTCTAAAGTTGATGGTATCAGTGAATCCAACAAATCAAAAAAGGTACAATATGCAAGATCTTTACTTTTATCAAAATGTTTAACAATATGTTTCTGACTATCTTCCATGATGCATGAGCCAAATATAGCAAAACATCCATCTTCCAAGGTTGAGGCTTTGTTGGTAAAATTTTTTTTTTTGAAAAATTGTTTTATAAAACTCATTAAAGAAGCCCCAAAACATCAAAAAGCAACTCTCACAAGTATTGAAAGACACACGTAAAGGTCCCAAAAAAGGCACAAGGCAAGTGACCATGTCTGGGATTGGTGATAATTCTTTTAGGTTTAATTTCTGCACAATTAAATGTCCAATATATAACTGACCTGGAAAATCTGCAGGAACTGCTATGAGAGAATGCTTAAGATAATTATTAATTTCTGTAAAGCTAAAAAAAATAGAAGATTATTAATTTACAAATAAAATAATTTTAATCATTATTTAAAATTAATAACTCAACCTGAAAAAGATCTTAAGGAATTTTAGATCAGTAGTATTCTTTAAATTTTGTGGTAAGAAATCAATTAGTTTAGTGAATTTAAAGGAATGTTTTGAGTGTGATTCTATTAAATCAGCATCATATGAGTGAACTATCAATGAATCAATAAGGTCATCTTCATTTAAGTTTATCATATCAGTTACAAAGTTCCATTCCATTTTATTTTTATTGTAACTTTCACATACAATACTTTCAAATTTCATTATTAATAGGTTCTTTAACAAGTCTGCCTCAACTCCTTTTGGGTTATGTATATTAGATGAACCAATTGGAATAGTTAGAGCATTGATCTTATTAATAAGTAATGTGGCTATGTGTGAGATTTGAGAAATTGATGTGGTACTTGGGATTCTTGATTGATGCAGATTATGGAAATCATCAAGATTAAATACCAAAAGGATTTGGTACTAATATTCACAATTGAAAAAAAAATCAGTTAAAATTTTATAAACAATATATATTTATATGGTGCGGACCTCTTAAACCACCATTTACTGCGCCTCGCGGCAAATTTCAAAAATGGGTCAAATTTTAAAAATTTTCAATTCATCTAAAAAAACAATAATATTTAACTCCGCAATGTTACACAACATCAATTTTATTATTTTAAGGTATAAAATAATTTATATAAAATAATTTTAATTATTAATATTATTAATATTGCTTGGAATTTTTCTGAGATTTGTATTTTTTGACAGTATATAAGGCCTCTACTCCTGTTAATCCTTTTCTATATGCATCCATAAATCTCCAAACTCTTTGTGCATATTTACGAATACTTTCAAATGAAACTGAATTTAATGCTAAAGGAATGGTTTTCTCCAAGGATTTAAATGTATAGTCACAATTTTCTCGTGCATATTTTTTTGCAGCTCCCCAAAACATCTCTATAAGGTTAAGTTCACAGTGAAATTTTGGGTAAAATATCACTTTATGACCACAAGCTTCAATAATTTCTTGAATCAAAGGTTTCTTTCTGGTTCATAAAATCTGGTTGAAGTTCAAGAATTCTGACAGCACAACAAAAATTTTGAACAGGTGATCTTTTTTTACAGTCATCACAGATTCGATTTAATCCTGGAATCCATAAGTCTCCTCTTCAAGAATTTTTTTAATTCCTTTTGGTGTTCCATCAGGTAAATGCATTAATTGTTTTGATCCATCAGATTTTATTCCATCTCTAAATTTTTGTTTTCCACCTGGTTTAATATTCATTCTTCTTGCAATCAAGCATTTTTAGCATAAAGAGAATGACTGGTGGCATTATCAAATGCAAACACTCCAATTGAATCTTGGTGAAGTTTTTCAAATATTGGTATTGCTTTTTCAAGAATCTGAAATTTAATTATTTGGTTATTAAATCTTCTAAACTGATATTAATTAACTTTAATATTTTTACCTGGTTGACTAAAAGTTCAGAAGTCCACCAGCCATCACAATTAACTCCAGGTTTCATAATGACACAAGCTTCTTCATTTTCAAATCTTAATCTTCCATCAATCTCAGTTAGAAAATCACTAACATGAATGCTTAAACTGGTACCTTTTTTCCTCAATGGCATATATCCTTTAGGCCCCCAAAAAATTTTTTTTCCATCATTAGAATAAATATTGACTCATCATGAGTAACAAGAATGTGCCTTCTTTCACCAGGATTCAAGGATGGTTCAATAATCATCATTATATCATTTTCATCTGGCTTAGGCATTAATCTTTCAAACACTTCCATTTGGGTAAGGAATATTTCTCTGTATTTAACAACATCATCCCTCTCATGACCATCACAATAAATATCTTTATGATGTTTTTGATAAGTCCACCCTAGTTCTTTTAACCATACCCTTGCAGTTTTCTCACTAATATTTTTTTTCTCTTCAATACTAATTTTTGGAAAAACTTCACTTTCAACAAATTCTTTAAAGTTCTTAACTTTAATATCACTCAATTGTTTCACCAGGTATTCTTGTAATTTTTTATTTATGTCCTCATTCCATAGGAGTGATTTTATCTTTGGATATTTACCTTGATTAGAGGCTGGAATTGTGCCAAATTTTAAAAACTGTTTTGACCAATTACGAATTAGTTGAGCACGATACTGCGAGCGTGCAATCCAAGTTTCCTAATTAATAGGTTATTTATGGTTCAACACACAGCCTCCTTGCTGACTTACAGTTGATTCTATTGTTTGACACACAGCCTACTCACTGACTTACGGTCAGTTTCCTTTATTTATATATATATGACACACAGCCTACTCGCTGACTTACGGTCAAAAATCAGTAAAATATAACTTTTATCTTTTCAGATAAAAGGATCCTAGGTTCTATATATGTAAGTATATCCCAAAGGCGTCCCCTTGAGATGTCTCTTGATAGTTAAGATACTGGTTAACTGCTATGGGCAGCAAAGGTTT